TCTCTCTCAGCAGCTCATAGAGTTTTCTACATTCCTTTATCTCAGCTGTTTTGGGTGTCTCTCTGTTTTCAATAGAGTCTATTACTGACTGTGAGTCCGAAAGTATCACCATGTCCCGCTGCTGCGTAGAAAGAGAAGAGTTCAGAATAGACACCTGCATCAACGTTTGCTTGGTTTTCTATGTATGACCCATCAGTGAAGACTTGGAGCCATTGATCTGCAGGATAGTTGACATTGATTGTCTCAAGTGCCAGTGAGGGCATTTGCTCTGGAGGAGTGTTTGATTTCCTGAAGAAGTCGAGCAGTTGGGTGCGACACACTACATCAATGTCTGCTAATGGGTTCATGGGGCGAGAGAGGCTTTTTGGTTTATCATCGATTTGTAACGCTTTCTTCAGTTCTATGGCTTTCTGTATTAGACCAGATTGCGCTTTCAGATGTCTTGGTCTATTCTCATAGGTGCTAAAGAACTTATCCATGGGAATGCGCAGTAGCTTCTCGTGAGGAAATATATAAAGTTCTATTTTTCATAAAAATAGCTTTAGAAAACCATTCTTGCAAAATTGTAAGATTTTCCGCTTTGTCTGCAGAAATGGTTAATTCTTCTTTAATAAGTAGTTTAATTTCAAAAAAGATTCTAATTTAGAGCCCTTATTGCCATTGTGAAATAGTAATAACTATTAGTCGATACCTAAGCTTCTATTATCGCCAGAACTTCTTAGACTACCATTTTAAAAATTTACAGTTTAGGGTAATTCATAAGAATTAATTTTATGATTCAAGCGTTAGTAACTATTTCAAAAAATGGTGAAACGCATTAAATATTTGTTTTACAATGGTAAATGTTTAGAATTTGTAACTGGCATATTTCTACTTGGTATAAGTTCAGTCGGTGACGAAGGAGCTGGAATCTAGGGTCTTTAGAGAGAAACCTCAAGGCATCAAAGAGTTTAAATTCATTTGATTTTTGGACTGAATAATCATTAAATGGGTAATTACTTTCCCGGAATTCAAGTTTCGTGATTTGTCTCCTGAATGAAAAAAAATTGTTAAGATGGCTGCTTATTGATAGGAGAAGGTTCAAGCGTTTCATTTCATTTTTTATCCAAAAATCGAGAGTTCAACATTTACTTATATGTAATTGACTTGTTTACGTAATGTTATGAATTATGATCTAGCAGTCATAGTCTCAATATAAGCGATAGCCTCAAAGTACGCTTGAAAATCGCAGTCTAGGTGGCTTTTAAGTCCTCATGATAAATGGGCACTCCTTGACCATCTGAACATTTATATAATGCCCTTTGACTACATTTGGGCGAGTCTGTATAAACTGAATCACTTTCTTTGATATTAAGTGAGAAGTCAACTGCCGGTTAGTAGACTTTTTGCCGTATGAGTATACGTTGCCCAGGGTGCACCACGTAAAGGTAAGTCTATCGCACACCCCATTTGATGTACCTTCCTCTCTGTGAAGCCTGAAGTCAACTAAATGGCTAATGATAACCATCAAGACGCCTGTCATTTGATATAATAATAATAATAGTAACTTTCTTTGGTATACATACTAACATTGTCATGTCTGTCTGCCATTATGACTCTTCATCTCAAGTTTTTTATTCACCTATTATTAATTATCGAAATGTCAACAGACATACATTTTCTCTCCATATCACATCCACTGAATGTACTTTCTAGAATTAGCCTTAAATCTAAGAAGAACAACCACAATGACCAAGAATACTTCAATAATGTTATAAACTTGAAACTATCATATTTAGCCCACCTTTTTTATATAAATATAAGAATTCAAGATTAATTAAAATGCACCATTAAATTCTATAGTCAAAGGCTGAACAACAGATTTATTTAACAGTAAATAATGAGAATTTAGTAGAGTAAATAAGGTCTTTAGAAACTTTAAATGAATATTCTATCTGACGAAAATATACTTGTTTTCATTTTTTAGTTCTAGCCGATTGCATACTGCATTTAAAGTACCTTGCGAGGAACTCTTCGAATTTTGCTATTCGGAAAATTTTTGTTCATTGACTATTTAAGTGTTTGTTAATGATAATAAATAGTAGTAGTATAATTGCGTTTATTAGACATTTATATTTTTCCAAGCAATAAATTTGAGGACGCCAAATGCATAATGATTAATTCTGGAGTCCTGTTCTAAGGAAAGTAGGTTAAATATTTCTCACTATCAAAAATAGATACATTTGGAATGTGGTGTTCTGGGTTCAGGAATAATATATAAACACTGCCTTTTTCAAAATAAGCTTTGCTTATTTTGAAATATCTGAGGAAGTATATTTTCCCTTAAATAGGGGTATCCAGCTTTGTGATGCTGTGAACTTGGACCTCAACGTCTATTGAATGTTTTCGAAGGGGCAAATTGTCTGTGGAAGATGCATGACTTCGAATGATTGGAGAAGTTAGAGATCCAGTAAGATCCAATTGTTCACTAAGTGTCCTTTCCATATCTATATGACTTTCTTCAATATTGATCTTGTCCGAACAGTGTTGAAATGAAACCAGGTTTTGATTTCCCAGTTCCTCGGAGGCAGAGTTTTTCAGACCTTTCTCACTTGCATGGTCTCTATGAATATCAAAGCTAGCAGAACTCATACTTCTACATAGTCGAACTCGTTGCATTTCCTCTTGCCTTCGAACTGCCTTTTCACGCCTCATCTGATCCTTATAAAACTCTGCAAAGTTATTCACAATGATGGGGATGGGCATAGCCAATACGAGTACTCCGCAAAGTGCGCATCCAGACCCAACTACCTGACCCCATGCGGTAGTTGGACTCATGTCTCCGTAACCAACTGTTGTCATTGTGATTATAGCCCACCAGAAGGTAGCTGGAATGCTCTCAAATTTGGTATCCTTTTCATCCTTTTCTGCGAAATAGGCTAAACTAGAGAATATGAGTACACCCATTGCAACGAGCATCATAAGAAGACCGAGTTCCTTGTATGACCGCCGGACGGTATAACCTAAGGCCTGTAATCCAATGGAATGGCGGGCCAACTTGAGAACGCGCAGTACCCGAAGTAAACGAAAAACCTGGACGACCTTGCTTATAGCAGTTAAAGAGTCCAGAGCCTTTGATACATAGAAGGGGAGAATTGCAATCAAGTCAATAATATTCATGGGACTTTTTAGAAAGCTGCACTTGCATGGAGCAACGATAAATCTAACGACATACTCAATAGTAAACCAAATAATGCAACTCAATTCTAGATTGTCTAAATGATATTGTGTGTTTTCACTTGAGCCGAATAGATTATCTTTATAGCGAAACGTTCTGTTGGTGCTATTTGATGAATTCGAGGCAAATTTTTGGGACTCCTGAGTCATTGCAATGGAGTTTAGAGCCAATCCGATGGTTGACAGGAGAATGAAGGCCACTGATATTAGAGCGACTATCTGAAATGGTCAAATAGTTATTTCATATTTAAAATAAAATCAAAGTCAGCTAATAAATGCATAAGCGGATTAAAAATATATAGTTGCAAGCTATTTGCGAAACTGCTTCAAGGGATGAAAAGTGATAAATATATGGAATCTTATCCTTAACTTTTTGAAGTTACATGTTGAAGCAAATAAATGAAATTTTAAAAATGCCCTTTGAGTTTCAAATGAATAGGACTAACATTTCGACTTTAAGTTAATATTTTACCTATGCTTTTAAAAATAAAAAAAGGATTTCCACATCAGGAAAGAGGATATTTGTGTAGTTAAAATAATAAACAAGTTTTTTTGCCAAATCATATCGCGAAAAAATGTTAAGTTATATTTCTTAGATTTTTTGGAAATGACAGGTTTCAGACAAGGGGATATGGAATAAAAGCATCTATAACTATAAAATAATTTTGAAGAAATTAGATGAAATGACTAATCTTAAAGAAAACTGCGAACAATTGTTCGTTATTCCAAAAAGATCCTGTTTTCAGGTCACCTACTTATACAAGTTGATATTGAAGTTGCATTTGTTTAAGAAATGTGAATATGGAAAACACTCAAATTTGAAGGCAAGTACACTGTGATTCTATAATATCTCCAAACTTGAAAATTTATCACCTTAATGGTGGTTATAATTCTTTTGTATTACATATTTCGAACATAAATTTAAAATATTTAAACGGCCCTAAAAGCATCAACATTTGCGATCTTCACTTAAATTATGTTTATTTTTCCAGAATGCATTTCTGAATCAAATTTACCATAAAATTCTTTCATTTCGGGTTTTCATTTTGATAAATAAGCTATAGAACGATCTATACCACGTTGAGTGAATCGTTTGTTACTAAACACCTGCATGACATATATAGAAATGTCCTCCCACATTACAAATTCCATTGAGATTCACTTGAACATATAAATAACCTTTTTATACTCTAGTTCCTTTTATATGCTGATTCGTATTGGCGGCTAAATGAGGGACTGAACAACGTAGGATATTAAATTTTTCAAGAAGTTATTAATTTCAATTCGCTTGGTCAATTCTTATGATTCGAAATCAAAATGATAATTTCATTTCAGTTTGATTCTTAAATTTGTAGCTCCATAAGAATAATTCATAATACCGCCAGGATTGGGACGTGCGACCGTACAAACAATGGCCAATCAGTAGCCTCTGTTTAACCTAATCCGCCAAGCTGATCATGACTAAGCTCCCAGCGTGTACACTTTACTCACAAGATGCTAACTGAATAAACGTTCTCCGTTCTACACGTCTGTTTCCTTTCATAGCTGGGCTATAGCTTAGGCAACACGTCTGTTTCCTTTCATAGCTGGGCTATAGCTTAGCTAGTTCTGGGAGTCTAGATAGATGTAGGAGAAACTGCCACAGAGATTTCTGAGTCAGTCAGGCATTACTAGTGTGACAATCCGATGCACACCCGTAATGTACTTATTTATTTAAATTTGAATTGTTTTAAACCTGATGAAAGAAAAATCTGATGATGATGAATTATTAAAAGCTTTTTAATACTTGCCGGCTAAAAATTACTAAAAGCATTCAAATGGGAAAATGCCTTTTTCAGAGTTTAGTATTCTTGATAATTTAATAATGTAGATATTGAAGGAACGCCCGAATAACAATGCTTACTGAGCTAGAATGAAGTTGAGGAAATTTTGAAGGCTGCAATTGTAGATGGTGAAATTAAGGACATCGCTAATTTATTATCAAAAATGAGCATTTTTGTCTATGCCTATTTGTATCGTATTCTTTCCTCATCCACCAATTTAGTGTAATACATTAAAAGTGAAATCTTTGAAAGATTTTTGGTCATAATATTTTAATTATGTCTTCTAAAATGTTCTTTTTCTTATCTTATTTTCGTCTATACGGAGTTGAAGAAAATGACGATTTACGTTAAATATCCTCACTAAGAAGGTTTATTGCGCCAGAGTAGTTAGTTGCTGATTATATGACAATATTTTATCCGACAGAGAAGGGGTTTTACTATAAAGAAGTTATTTATTTATCGAAAACTGATATGTTTGATATAAAGTAAAACGAAAGATAATGAATAGAAAATATTAATCTATTACAATATTTAAAATAATTGCAAATATTTCGGTTTTAAGAAACCTGAAATAGTAACAAACCCGACAAATTAATGACATACTACTACAGATAGAACAGTGACTACTCAATTCTGATTGGACGCATTTCTTTTACTAATAAAGCATAGGGCATATTATTATATTACAATTGAGCAAGGGTTTTGAAATCGTTTATGAATTATTACGCCCGCGTTCAATCCATAGATAATCGGCAAAACTACAGCTTTGTCATTACATTTGGAATTCATTGCGATAAGTATTAGGTTGGCCACTAAGTCATTGCCGATTTCAAATAAG